ATCTCTTAGTTAATTTGCAAGCTTTACACCAAAAATATTTCTGAATTTCCTTCGAAAAAAACATTATTTTTTATAAGAGAGTTATGTCACCGAGAGCTGGCGAAATACTGAAAAAATCGAAACGCGAAATTCTGTTCAATATATGTGCTCAGTTTATTTTTAAATACTCGCTTCACAAACCTTTAACGACAAGACGCCGTTAACCAAAACAGTATTTGAGATTTGTGAAACTGAAACTATTCTTAGAATTTTTCTCCTTACACATCAAAACATTTATATGAACAACGATTGAACTCTACAGGTATTATGATTTATTTGGGTGTTTTATTTTTAGTTTTATTTTTATTTATTTTTTTTTTTGGTAACATTAATAAAATAGTGATATCGTGGTAGTTTAATCGTTTGCTTTGCAACGTTTGCTGGTACGTACGCATTCTTTTTAATGGCCGTTTTGCATAAATGTGGCTGAATGAACGAAGGCGTGGGTGGTGATCGTGAATTTTGCAAGCATGAAGATGCAAATCTAGCGCGTAGAGAGTTTCTCAAAATGCAAATACTTTTCTGCATTTACTGACTGCTTCTGTACTCTGAGCAAAGCTCTCACGTGTTTTTATGTTAAAATTCGATCAGAGTAGTTAAGATCACTGGTTAACCCCGTCTTCCAAGGGGAGCGAAGGTTAGTTAAGTTTTCCTATTTCAAATATGATACTTGGGAAAACGCTCCAGAAGTATCGTAGAATATGTTTACTTAAGCTTAACATTAAAGTCTGAAACAGTTTTGCCCTCTCCCCCTCCCTGCAGAACTAAGTTCATTTCTGTCTCTATTACGAACCGGGATAGAGAATTGAAATCTAATCATTGTCTATTTTTTTTTTACATTTGCATTCAACAGGTATCCGACATTCGTTTCAATTATGACTGTGGACTTTTTGCTAGCTTTTTATTTATTTTTTTTATTTGTCAATCAGTTTAAAGATATAAATTTAAGAATTGTACGTGTCAATAAATTATAGACGTCACGTTAAACTCATTAAACCGTATACGGATTCCGTAGGCGCTGATTATAAATAATTAAAATTCTTTTTCAAGTTTCTTAAAAAACGTTATAATTTTCTTTTTTTACTTATATCGAGAGTATATTAACTTTATCAAAGAGCTAATGTATAAAAAATGGTCGTAGTCAACACAATATATTATAGACGTTCACGAGCCTTCCTCCCAAATAGCAAAATTGATTTCTCTCCATCTCTTCTTTCGTAAAAAGTTTGATTGAGACTTGGACCATGAATCTGGCTTATCAAACTTACACTTAAACGCTGTTTCATTTTTCTTTTGCCATGTTAAGTTAGAGCGACAGCTTAATTAGTTCATAGATTCGCTTTTAATTCATAACAACTTTCTCCTTAAAGCGTTTAAATATAGCTCTCTTGAGGCTCGCTTAGGGCAGGTAATTGATACTACTGTTGATGTCTGTTATAGCACTTCTATAAGTAATGTTATCGTTGCATTATATTACATACTGTTTTCGGTTTTCGATAATCGGCCCTTGAACCAGACAAATACGTTAAGAAAAAGACATCGATAAAGTAGGTGAAAGAAGGAGGTAGTAACGCGCTTTCGAAATTTTCGGGTTAAACATGTTAATAACATTTTTTTTATCGTCTTCCCTTAGACATATCCGTAGTGCTATAATGTATGTCATGTTCTTCTTCGTTTATTACCGATCCTTTACTAAATGCAAGTGATCTTCAGATATTTCACTCATTTTCAAATAAATATACCTTATTGCAGGAGCAAAGAGTTAAAAAACTATCTTCACCTCTTAAGTAAATGTTCGTTTGAGACAATCAGGCGAGGGTTACCCGATATATAGACATCCACATCATCCGGTGGAAAAAACCTAATCCAACCTAAAGAGGATAAGTGATATGTGTCTGGAAAACTTGTAATTATGTCGACATATACTAAACTTAATCATTATTCATAAAAAAAGACAACGGCATCAGTTAATTTCTCGATTCGCTGTAATTTCCTGATATTTCGTGTACAACGTTCTAATCATCTCTATTCGGATTCCTATTTCCACATCGCTGCCCCGATCTTCCTGCAATTATGGATATCAAAGCTATAAAAATTTTGAAACCCTTGCACGTTTTTAATTAACAACATAGCATTTGTATATGAAGTTTTCGATCGACCTACGATTATATATTTGGCTTTGCTGATATTTATGTTTAACCCACAGTTGTTACTGTGATCATCTATAGTATGTCATTTTTCAAGATACGAAAATAAATTGGTTCCGTTTATATTATTGTATTATTTGTGGTCTTAAAAACATGCTTATCAATAGGTCGCACAAAGATTGTAGCGATGTGTAGAAAACCTATTCGACGTAAGTCGCATGTATATAAGTTTTTCTTACTTGGCTTTGCAAGTGCACATAAATGTTTGGCGTTTAGCTATTAAAATATAATTTGATTTGTTTTTTCTTTATTAAATACTTTGATGTTCGTTTGTGTGTACAGTCAAACCTGTTTTTGTGCGGTAGATAGGGACCGCACAAAAAAAAAATATTCAAAAACTTCATAAATAGCTATAAGAAATAATTTTTCACAGCATATTAAAGAAAATTTTTTTTATGCGGTAGAGAGGGACCGCATAAAAAAAGTCTCACTCAGAAAATATGTCAAAGCTTCACGAAATAGCAAGAAAGTGCTTTCCAAACAAAATAAATAATTAAATTACACATTGAAACATTTAAAAAAATTTTAATTTCTAATTTTAAACAAGGAGAAATTTTCAAAATGTACATAATTCAATACTACTCGTCGTAGTTCAAAACGCGCATATTTTTGCGATGAACTAGTTCGTAATCGCTTTCGTCGCTTGAAGATACTACAGTTGATTTATTTTTTGTTAACATGTATGATATTCTTTTACCACTTTCGTTTGTTGCAGAATTTTTAGATTCATTTATTCTACTTGCACGTTTTTGTATTGCTCTTATAGTGGATTCACCTAATTTATATTCTTTACCAAGAGCTGTGGATCCTTCACCATCTGCAAGTCTATTTAATATTGCAATTTTAGTCTCTAATGTAATTGTCTTTCTTTTCACTTATTTTTGGTTACGATTATTCATTTTAAGGGAGTACTTATGACTAAAAATAAAATAAAAATCATAAAAAACTATATCTAAATAGGGAAAACAGTTAATATACCTTTAATCTCATTATAAAATTAATCCTGTCTTAATGGTTAAAAGGTCAGCAATTAACTAAAGTTATTAGATGGCGCAGTATGTATTGAAATTGGCTGATGCAATATATGCATAAGAACATTGAGCATGCCTAATGAAATAGGCTGATGCAATAGGTATGAAAATGGCTGTTGCAATGTGTACATACACACTGATAGCAAAAAAAGTGATGCCAACACAGTTCAGATTGACCTAACCTCTCGGCGAAATTCAATGTGTCGATATTCATATACCGCACAAAAAAAGAATCGCATAAAAAGAATCGCACAAAAAAAAGAATCGCACAAAAAGAATCGCACAAAAAAAGCGCATAAAAAAAGCCGCACAAAAACAGGTTTGACTGTATTTAATGTAAACAATACTTATTAAGCTAATCACACATTCTGAACGGTTTATTGACTTGATTCGTAATAAAATGTAAATGTACGTTAATTTTTTATAGTCTGTTCAGTATATTGTAGTTGGTTAACAAGCTTTTTGCGTCATAACCATGAATAAAATGGGGATATATGCGTAAATGTACAGATTCAAGTCGCTTTGTTCTAAACATCTGAAAGGGAGGTTTAGAGGAGTGAACTTACTTTCAAGCAATGAGATTAAAAGTTATATTAAACTTGCTTTCTGCATAAAGGATAAGGTTTTTCCAGAAACAATTTGTACTATTTGTCTTTACATGGTTTTGGGTGAAGGGCGAAACTTGGAATACAGGACCTATAGAACAGGCAGGAAACTTATGAGGACAGGCTCGTTTTAATCACGCTATGCTCTTTAGAGAAGAGTAGACTGATTTTTACTATGGATTTATTGGTTAAGACGTACTTGCTTCGGTTTACTCTCACGCATGGAGTTTCCAGGCATTTGTTTCCCTTGCGTTTACCGCACTATAGAGCCAATTACAAATTTTATTCTTTTGTGCGAGTATTTTAAAAACATGAGAACTTTATGGAAAACTTTCATAGCAGAACGCTACGA